CTTTAGGGTCCACACACTACTTTAGGGCCCGCCCGCCGCTTTAGGGTCCACACACTACTTTAGGGCCCGCCCGCCGCTTTAGGGTCCACACACCACTTTAGGGCCCGCCCGCCGCTTTAGGGTCCACACACGGAAGATTTACAGTGCGGTGACAAAGTATTTTCCCCCTTTTGGATTCCCTCTATTTTTTTTTCATTACACTTGACTGTTTCTGCTCTCCGAACAAATTTAGTATAATACAGAGCATACCCTGAGTAAACGCAACACGCAGTTTTTAAATGACTATTTAATTCAGGGATGTCAAACTCCAGTCCTGGAGGGCCGGAGCCCTGTGTAGCTTAGTTCTTTCCCTGTTCCACCATAAGTGATTCAGCTCAAGAGCTGTGTGGTAATTAGCACAAGGAGTTGAATCAGGTGTGTTATCGAAAAACTGTGCAGGGCTCCGGCCCTCCAGGACTGGAGTTTGACACTCCTGGTTTAATTCATTGAAGGAAAAAAATGAGCAGTATCCATATTACCCATGTGGCAAAGTAATTGCCAAAGTAGTTATAGCGTACTCACTAGGGTGGGGTGAAAAAATCAAAATTTCCAATAGTGTGGAAAAGTTGTCACTGGACCTCGTTATTAAACGTGCAAAATATCTTTGAAATAGGTTAATATTTTCAGGTTCTGCAACGCGATCGAAGTTTTCACCTGTCACATCAATGCGCAGATCCACGCTACGTATCATCCATATCATAACTCAATGTAAAATTGTTCCAATTGAATACAAGAACCTAACAATCGGTCAGTGACAATGAGTAAGTGGGAAACGACTCATTCAGAAATGTGGCGCCCAGGAGCATGTTTACACTGACATACTGGCAATACACACTATGCATTATCTATACAACAGGAGCATGCTTACACTGACATACTGGCAATACACACTATCCATTGTCTATACAACAGGAGCATGTTTACACTGACATACTGGCAATACACACTATCCATTATCTATACAACAGGAGCATGCTTACACTGACATACTGGCAATACACACTATCCATTATCTATACAACAGGAGCATGCTTACACTGACATACTGGCAATACACACTATCCATTATCTATACAACAGGAGCATGCTTACACTGACATACTGGCAATACACACTATCCATTATCTATACAACAGGAGCATGCTT